AGTTCCTCCTTGTCAGTTGTTGAATTAATTGTATTTCTGGTGTAACAGCTTATTGTAATTTTGATTAAAATTATGATTTAGAATGTTTCATGTCTTGAATGAATTTGGGCCCAGGGTAGTTGAAGAGTTAAGGACTGAATATTGGTACCTACACAAATCTTCATTAATCATCAGAAATGTGCGTATAATGTACGTCAATTCAGCAAAATGATATCTCAAACCAAATCTCCTATCACAATATTGATGTAATACCAATATATTGCTCAGCTTTAATGTAAAAGAAAATGTTATTTAATCCAGTTATAAATTAAAGATCTGACCGTAAGAGGCTCCGAGCATCATCACCAACAGTCCGATCACAGCCTGCATGTCTCCTCAGTGTTCAGCCTCTGGGGACCCAGTCTGCAGCTCACACTCAACTCTAAACTTTATACTACAGCAAACGTGCACATACTACACGGAGCAACCTGACATGTCTTCTGTTAGTGATCAGATTTAGATTAATTTATGTTGAGAACATTCTACCGTTATAGCCTAAAATAAATACCAGAAGTAAGGTAATGGTTTCTGTAATTCTGGGAGATAATAAATGATTGTACGCTAAACAATACCATGCCAGGAAATGGTGTCATTGCTCTAAAGGAAGTGAAATAAAGTGTCACACGAAACACTGACCACTAAGATCTGCACTTTGGTTCTATTATTTGTGTCTGTTATGTTCTGCCTTTTCCTCAACATTTGAGAGAGAATATAAATAAGTTATGATTGAAACAGTACCACAGGGTGTACATACAGAGTGTAACATCTCAATAATGAATAAGAAATGAGAGAACATTACAATCCTTGACATAAAGTTTTACTGTGACAATAACTTTCAACTTTCTCACACTATTTCTATATCCAAAGAAAAAATGGTGTACTTATGTATCAGAAAACAACTAATAAGTCCCTCTAACTGAAACAACTGGTCCTTAGACAAGACATAGAGTGAGAGAAACCATACTCGGCCTGTAGATGTCGTCACAACATGATTCAACTAATACCTGTGGGGGAAACTTCTGAAGCAATTGGAGTCACGACTCAGAGAGACACGAGGAGAGCTGGAGCTTTGATGTCAAACACTGATGGTTTATTTGGAGCTTCGGCCGGAGAATTCACAAGCCACGGTTTGACCACACGGTTGAGACGCCACAATCAATTCTGAAGAACCCTCCTGCAGTTCCAGGGTTTTAACTAGTTCAGAGTGTAATAATCAACATTCTTCAATAGATAGACTAAACAGCTGAGGATACTGAATCACATTTGTTGTCGCTTATTGCTCGGGGTCATCTACACCCCGAGAAGGATGTGTTCCAGGTGTCCCACAACAATAACTATCTCTGACCGAAGTTGCCCGGTCATAAACTGGTAACAACAACAAAATGCTTGGGCAGCCCCTCCTTAAGGGAGATAGCAGCTGAACAAGGTTGGGCATCTGCGTCAGAGGGCAAAAGGTAAACATGTATACAGAATTATTCCCTGACAATACCAACAAAACCTTTAGATACTACTTTAGCCATCTACTTTAGTGTGGTCTTTAAATTATTTTATCTATTTAACTTTCAGTCAAAGCACTAATTATGTTAGTGATGAAGTAGATGATTCAATGTTCAGTTATTTCACTTCTCTCTCACTCTTTAGACTAAGTCACCCTCTATTGGCAACTATTGATATAAGGCAAATGCCCTGAACTGAGAAACTATCTATCAAATCAAATCAAATCAGGTTTTATTTATAAAGCACATTTATAAAGCACATTTAAAAGCGATTTTTGGTCGAGCCAAAGTGCTGTACATGTAATAAAAACACATTACTACAAAACACAATAAACGACAATAAATTACAACAGATATAACTTAAAAAACAAAATAAGAATAAAACACACGGAATAGTCAGGAGTCGTGCTCCGCTCTAACTAGAAAGCCAGAGAGAAGAAGTGTGTTTTTAGTTTTGATTTAAAAACCCCTAGGGTCTGGGCCGACCTCACATGGAGGGGCAGAGTGTTCCAGAGCCTAGGGCCAGCTGCTGCGAAGGCTCGGTGCCCTCTGGTTTTTAGCCTGGTCTTGGGCACTACCAGCAGCAGCTGGTCAGCAGACCTTAAAGCTCTGGCTGGGGTGTAGCGCTGGAGCAGTTCAGTTATATAGGCCGGAGCCAGCCCATTTAGGGCTTTAAAAACAAATAAAAGGATTTTAAAATCAATTCTGAACCGAACTGGAAGCCAGTGTAGTGAGGCCAGAATAGGGGTGATGTGGTCGCGCTTTTTGTGACCAGTCAGCAAACGTGCAGCAGCGTTTTGGACTAGCTGTAAGCGTTTGATTGAGGCCTGGTCCATACCCACATACAGAGCGTTACAATAGTCCAGTCTCGAGGTTACAAAGGCGTTAATAACCCTTTCTAAGTCTTTAAAAGATAAATACGACTTGGTTTTGGCCAATAGTCTTATTTTAAAAAAGCAGGATTTTACTACGGTGCTGACCTGCTTGTCAAATTTAAAAGTGCTGGTGAATGTCACTCCAAGGTTCATGACCGAGGGGAGGATGTTTTTTTTGATAGAGCCCAGAATATCAACCGGAGAGGCTGGAGGTTGCGGTCCAAAAAAGATGACCTCTGTCTTGCTCTCGTTGAGGTTGAGGAAGTTTTTGCTCAGCCAGGATTTTATCTCTGCTAAGCAGTCCATCAGCTGCTGTAGTGAGTGTGTGACATTTGCTTTGAGAGGCAGATATATCTGTACATCGTCGGCGTAGCAGTGGAAGGGAATGTTATGTTTTGTGAGTATTGAACCTAGGGGCAGTATGTACAGTAGAAAAAGGATGGGGCCCAGAATCGAGCCTTGGGGAACCCCACAGGTAAGAGGGGCTTTGGCAGAGGAGAAGGCACCTAGCTGTACCGAGAAGCTACGGTCTGTCAGGTAGGACCTGAACCATGCAAGGGCAGAGCCTGTGATGCCAGCGGACTGTTCAAGCCGTGACAGCAGGATGCTATGGTCCACAGTGTCAAAGGCAGCTGTCAGGTCTAACAGCACCAAGACAGCTGGGCTACCTGAGTCGGCGGCTAGGAGCAGATCATTAAAAACTCTTAAAAGGGCTGTTTCAGTGCTGTGCATGGGTTTGAAGCCAGACTGGAACTTTTCATGGATTCCATGCGTGGTTAAAAAAGACTGCAGCTGGGCGTAGACTACTCGCTCCAGGGCTTTTGATAAAAAAGGTAGCTGGGAGATGGGCCTAAAATTTGCGAGAATGGAGGGGTCGAGATTCTTCTTTTTAAGGAGTGGCTTAACCACGGCATGTTTGAAGGCAGCTGGGACACATCCTGAGGTAAGAGAGGTGTTTAAAAGTAATAAAATACTTAAAAAATCTAAGACTTATGACATTGCACTTGCAATAATACACATATATGTTTATATTTTAACCTCATTATGCAGACTGGTTAAGAGTAGCCTATTAAGGCAGTAAAACCATATGGTTATATTTTATTGATCATAATTTTTTCCTGAAATGTTAACATGTTGGGAACAGAGATTTTACAGAATAATCCACGAACAGCACTAACACCTCTGTTAGTCAGTAGGGGGAAACATAGAGTCTGTGATGAAAATGAAAACAACAAAATGGAAGTTCACCTAAATTGACTAATGTGAACATTGTGGAGCCGAAACATCTGATTACCTTTAGATAGAATACACAATGTTTGTTGAAATAGAAGTCCCACAGTGATGCAAATAGTCAAACACACTGACAGACCTTTATTAACCTTACTTACTTACTTTATTTTCACATGAAAGCAATATTTAACTTTATAAAATACCACCACTACATTGGATATATAACAACTATAAAAAGGAAAAAGACTTTACATTAGAACGTATTGCAAACAAGCAAGCAACAAATATAATCACATGAGAAAAACAACAAACTATTATGCACATGATTCAATCTGAGTTTAAAACTTTAATTATATAAATGAACATGATTCAAAAAGAGTGAAACAATTCAGGCATCTCGACTTGTGATCACATTAACTGTAGGCACAATTCATTACCTTTGTTCTGTGAGAGTAGTAATACAAATGCAAAACAACACTAACAGACCTCAGATAATAACAACTCATGCTGAGCTGCTAAACTGTGAACACATTTAAGTAATTTTAGAATAAAAACAGCAGATTATTTCCACTCCCTTTCTTCACATGCTTAAAGATGATGAGAGACGACCTGAGTTGAACTTCAGATGCCTTACATCTGTTAGAAATTAAAATCAATGTTTTATGGCATAATTTAGTCTAAAACATACAGTCAGTTTAAAAGCAGTCTTATGAAGAACTCATTGATTCCAGTATTGTGTTCACACCTTAAAAGGTGTGAAAGGAGGGATTGTTAGAAATTAAAATCAATGTTGATGTGGCGTAATTTGAATGAAATACACTATTTCATTTAAATCTGTTTTATTCTGAAAACCGAAGATTCACATGTGACTTCCGGTTTTTCCGCTGGTGAATTTCGTCATTTCCGGTTAGCATTAGCTTGTGGCGAAATGCTACGTTTTCAAACCGTGAATTGAAGGTGAAATAACGTGATGTTGCACACTAAACACCCTGAGTTTAACACTCATTTATTGACGCTGGAATGAGGTTTATTAGGGAATGTTTAGATGACCACAGACATCAGAGTGATGTAATTTAGCAGCAGAAACCGACAGGATTTGCATTGGACACGCCCCCGTCGACGCCGGCCAATAGGAGAAGACTACAGGTCTTACCCGGGAGACCCAAGGAGGATCTCGCTCTCTCTCCTTGCCCGCAGCTGACCCGGACGGACGGGACCAAAACAGCTGGGAGGAGCAAACCACCAACGAGCACATAACTTTTGTAAACCACCGCATCTTTTGTGTAATTAAATGCTGTTAACTTGTATAAGCTTGCCTTGACTCTTTTCAGTCTCTCCTGCTCTTGGGGTTCAAGAATAACTAACACATCTCAACCATCACAACAGACTCATCTTGATGTTCCCTCTCTGGACGGTAAGCAGAACCTTCAGCCTTCTTGTATTTATTTTTCTTCCAAGCAAAATAGACAGCAATCCCGATTAATGCAAAAACCACCACAGCTGCCAGCACACCACATACGAGCAGGGAGTGATCAGCTGGGATAAAGAGACACAAAAACAACATGTCAAGTTAGTTCTGTGACAGGAGAGTTCATGATTACTAAGAACCGTCTCTGCTGGAGGAAGAAACCGCTTATTGGAGGGTTTTATGGACACATTTATAACACTCTCCTACCCACAAGTCTTAGTTTTCACAGGTTTCTGTAAAACTACAACTCATCCAGAACGCTGCTGCCAGAGTCCTCACCAAAACTAGGAGAATTGACCACACCACCCCAGTTCTCAAAAATCTGCAGTGGCTGCCTATTACACAAAGGACACACTTCAAAATCTTACTTTGAACATACAAAGCACTTAATGGATTGGGAGCCAGAGCTCTCAGGTCATCAGGAGCGGGTTTACTCCTTGTCCCCAGAGTCAGAACTACATTTGCCGAGGTAGCTTTTAGTTGTTATGCACCACAAGCCTGGAACAAACTGCCTGAAAATCTAAGGTCCGCCCCAACCCTGGATTCTTTCTTTTTAATGCTGCCTATCCTGAGATGCTGCACCGTGCCTTATCACTGCACTTTTAGCTGCAACAATTATTTTATCGCTTTTTTGAATTGTCTTTTATTTGTTTGTTTGTTTGTTTTTTATTATTATGTGTTAAATGCCTATGTGAAGCACTTTGAATTGCCTCTGTGTCTTAAAATGTGCTATACAAATAAACTAACCTTGAACCTTGAACCTTATTTTCTATGTTTGTTGTAGGAGCTGTTCCAAAACTCACAGATACAGAAATAACTCTAGGGGGTTTATGGAGATAAACAAAGGAAAAAAAGGGGGAATGACTTTAACAATCCATTGTAGACATTTTACATTTCACTAATCTCTTGGTGTGTCTCCTTACCCACAGTGGAGGATTCTGAGATGGTGGTAGGAGGTGTTGTTGGTTCGATACACAGCATATTATTGGCTGCAAACACCCACTGTGATATCTGTGTCTCATTTGAGGTGCACTTGATGAATGTGAAGCCTGTGGGAAATAATCAAATGAACGACTTATGAACTGTTAATAATCTGTGTCATAATAAATAAACAGTTGTTCACTCATCTTCTCACCACAGAAGCGGCTGACGTTATTCTCGACGGAGCAGGCCACTGCTCCTGAGACGTGTTGTTTCAGAGTGATGCTGTTAGTCTCAGTATTTACAGAGAGGAGCTCAGTGTCTGTCAGTGAGCGTCCATCCAGAGTCCAGCTGTACTGAAGACTGTCCCCTCCCCCAGAGGAGCAGGAGACCCTCTTCTCTCCCTGGGACAGACACTCAGAGGCCAGCCGGACAGAGGACACAGGAGCTGAAGGAAACACTTTCTGGTGACTTTTCATATTCACACCATCTAAGTCTTTTTATGCCGGTTTTAATACAGAACAGACAGATATATATAGAGTTTAGATATACAAACTTCTTATGTGTGTCTATCCATTTGACTACATTTCCCAATAGATACAACAATATATTTACCTTGAATGGTCAGTCGTAGAGCGCGATTCTCTTTGATACTTTTGTTGTCACGGATTTCAAAATGATATTCATCACTGTCAGTCCTGCTGAGGTTGTTCACCCTAAATGTTCCATCACCGAGATTAAATGAGGATCTGCTTTTTATGGCATTCGTTACAATCATATTGTTTATCACAGTAAGTATTACTGTTGCTTTGTTTGACGATTTGTACAATTTGTATCTTTCTGTTTCTAAGCCCCTGTCCATCAGCTGGAGGACCACAGTTCCTCCCAAAGGACCGAAACACTGAGCTCCATCCTGTCTGCCGTCACAGTAGGTTTCCAGACCTGGACATACAAAATAAAAACATTTTTTTTAAAAAGGTTTAAAATCAAAAACAGAAAACATTTAAGTTTTGCATTTCTACAAAAATATTGAGTTTTGTAATTCTTTAAGCATATGCAAATACTGATCTGCAGCAAAAAAATAAGTATTTCACTGGTTTCCAGACAAAGGTTTGTGAAATACTGTATAAATATGTTTAGCAGCTGAACTGTTACAGTACAAATGCTTCTATACAATATTTGTGCTTAGGTGAAGTTAACCTCACCCAGACAGGAACTTCAGTTTTCAATTATTGGGAAGTTACCAATGTTTTCAAAATGAACACATAATTTTTTCACTGTGTTTTTAGCAATGTGTTTGAACTAATGGAAAATAGTCATCAAACCTTGATGTCCAAATATTTGCTGTGGATGTAAGCATTCTGTATCTGCAATCAAGTACCAGTTCCTCCTTGTCAGTTTCTTTAGTTGTTGAATTAATTGTATTTCTGTATTACAGCTTATTGTAATTTTGGTTAAAATTATTATTCAGAAATGATTGTCATATGTAAATGAGACAAAGAAAGCTTTACGTTAGCTTCAACATCATGGATCTATGCCAGTGAATTGAAGATCACAGCAGATTTTGAAAGATGTCTAATCATATTTATATCATGTTTTTGTCATGTTTCATGTCTTGAATGAATTTGGGCCCAGGGTGGTTGAAGAGTTAAGGATTGAATATTGGTACCTACACAAATCTTCATTAATCATCAGAAATGTGCGTCAATTCAGAAGATTATATCTCAAACCAAAATATAATCTCCTATCGCAATATTGATGTAAAACTAATATATTGCTCAGCTTTAATGTAAAAGAAAATGTTATTTAATCCAGTTATAAGTTAAACTTCTGACCGTAAGAGGCTCCGAGCATCATCACCAACAGTCCGATCACAGCCTGCATGTCTCCTCAGTGTTCAGCCTCTGGGGACCCAGTCTGCAGCTCACACTAAACTCTAAACTTTATACTACAGCAAATGTGCACATACTACACGGAGCAGCCTGACATGTTTTCTGTTAGTGATCAGATTCAGATTAAAAGCATCTTACTTCCTCATTTATGTTGAGAACATTCTACCGTTATAGCCTAAAATAAATACCAGAAGTAAGGTAATGGTTTCTGTAATTCTGGGAGATAATAAAATATTGTACGCTAAACGATACCATGGCAGGAAATGGTGTCATTGCTCTAAAGGAAGTGAAACAAAGTGTCACACGAAACATTGACCACTAAGATCTGCACTTTGGTTCGATTATTTTTGTCCGTTATGTTCTGCCTTTTCCTCAACATTTGAGAGAGAATATAAATAAGTTATGATTGAAACGGTACCACAGGGTGTATATACAGAGTGTAACCTCTCAATAATGAATAAGAAATGAGAGAACACTACAATCCTTGACATAAAGTTTTACTGTGACAATAACTTTCAACTTATAAATGGTGTACTTTTGTATCAGAAAACAACTATAAAGTCCCTTTAACTACCATGAAACAACTGGTCCTTAGACAAGACATAAAGTGAGTGAAACCAAACTCAGCCTGCAGATGTCGTCAAACATGATTCAACTAATACCAACAAAACCTTTTAAATCAACTACTTTAGCCATCTAATGAAAGCTCAGCGCAAGTTCAATCAAGACCAAGCTCTTCATTCATATTACATGTCATTTCATTACTCTCTCCTCCCTCATTAAGTGATCGGGGGCGTCACTCCCCAGCTAACCAATCACTCCTCTCTCCATTCTCACAAGCCTATCGTTGCACCCGCTAATCCCTTTATATCTGCTCTTCCCTCTTGTCAGCTGTCATTTCAGGTGACAATATGCAACCCTCCTCCACCCCTTTCGCCTCCTGTCTCCTTCAGGACCAAGCTAAACCTTCTCCCTTCAGACCGGTCCCACCTACTTATCACCACCACCAGTGTCTAGACCCCGGGGGGTTTCATCGGAGCGGTTCTTCCCCCTCCTGAATGATTATCCTTCAAACTGGGGCCTAATCGCCAAACACCATTCCATTCTCCTGTTATAATTCTGGCAATCATTATTACATTCATATTACGTGTCCCGGTAATAAATGTGTATTTCATACATCAACGTCTCTCCTGATTGAACTTTAGCCATCTACTTTAGCGTGGTCTTTAAATGATTTTATTTATTTAACTTTCAGTAAAAGGAATCATGATGTAAGTGATGTTTTAAGGCTTGTTTATATCAATAAAAGTACTTAATTCAAATATACAGCATTTAATTTACAGCAGCATCCTCTCATTATGCAATAGTTCCAGTAACAATAACTCATTCAAAAGAGTATTAAATACATATTTTTTGTAATTGTAAATCAACGTTTATTTTTTATCAGAGCTACAGTGCAAACATTCAACTTCCATATTATGTACCAAGAGTTTGCCATGAGGGAAGGGCAGCAAAATAAACAGACAATGATATTGAAACATTTTTTAAAAGGATGAAAAGAAAACCTGGTACTTAAACTAGATAGATGATCTCACATAATTCTGCAAGGTAACAACATGTACAAAGAGATTTTCCAGCACCCAAGTCATGCAAAGTAGGAGTCAATCTTAGGGTCCTCACTTGTCCAGTGTTGATCTTCAGTTACTTTTAAACTAGAAGCCTTTTTTGTCCTTTTTTTACCTGAGGAAGGAAAAAAGACAGAATAATAACTATCTTGTAGTTAAGATGGCTGAAAATTAAATAGTCTCAAACTGAATCTGTTCCTCTTTTTTGATAACAAACAGGCAGAGGAGGGAGAAGTACTCAGTGTACTTGAGCATAAGCAGAAATACCAGAGTGTTGGAATATTCTGCTACAAGTAAAAGTCCTAAATTCAAAATGTTACTCAAGTAAAAGTATGAAAGTATTGCTATCAAAATATACTTAAGTACCAAAAGTAGAAGTACTCATTATGCAGATTGATTGTAATTATTGATGCATTAAAGTGTTATCAAAGCTGGTAAAGCTGCAGCTAGTTTCAACTACTTTGTGCAGGGTAGCTTGTGAATTTACTCGAGGTGTTGCTAAAGTCTTATTTAAGAGTTGATTGTATTCCACATCACTAATCCAAATCTGCAAAGTAACTAAATAAATGTAAACTACTACACCTGCGACTCCTGTGAGTGAATGTAGTGGAGTAAAAGTACAAAGTAGCATAAAATGGAAATACTGAAGTAAAGTACAAGTATCTCAAAATGGTACTTAAGTACAGGACTTGAGTAAATGTACTTAGTTACTTCCCACCTCTGCAAACAGGTGAGTCTTACCTGACTTCTTACCGCGCCTCATTTTCCAGCAGGCGCAGCAACACACCCCCACTATCAGTAGAGCCCCGACTGTACAGCAGACGGGGATCAAGATGTGCAAAATGCTTTCTGGGGAGAAACAAACCACATAAATAATTATCCAAACTCACAAACTTTAAAGCATTCACATGTTTGCATTTGTTGGTTGGTGGTTAGTGAAACTCTATTTTTGACCAAAATTCATGATAGCCTCAAAACGAGAATAAGAAAAGTTGACAAATACTGAAAGTTCACTTTGAACCACAGCCAGTTCCTGTTGCTGTCACGGCACCTTTCATCAGCCCCCAAAGTATATTATTGAAATGAATAAATAAGTTGTAACTAAATGGAAAGCTTACCTTCAAGAATTTTCTCAGGAATTATTTGCTAATGTGCAAGGCAGGACTCAGTTATATTTTCATAATTTTTAAGTCGATTTTGAGTCATTTGTCATCATCGAATGTCACAGGAATGAGGAGGTTAAGAAGTTCTTGAAAGACAATTTCAAGAAGAAACACTATACTGCACTATATTATCAGATATAAGGCGTACAGTAAATATTACAGTACAGAAGATTCTTAAACATTCTCCTTTAATCTTCTATTCTTCCACATGTGGGTCCACTGGGTTTTGTATTCTCACTTCCCCAAGATGATTACCTTTTGTAGGTACTTTAATATAATACAGAAACATTAAAGCATAAATAAGCTGGAAGATAAACACTTGCCTTGAACAACCAGTTCAAAATTGACGTTTCTCAGGAGGACCCCGTCGTGCCGAAGGATTTCCACATTGTACTCCCCTGAATGTGTATGAATGAACTGATGGAAAAGAGCCCTCAAACCCAGATGTCCAAATGTTTCCTGTGCATGTAAGCATTCTGTAGCTGCAATCAAGTACCAGTTGTTGAATTAATTGTATTTCTGGTGTAACAGCTTATTGTAATTTTGATTAAAATTATGATTTAGAATGTTTCATGTCTTGAATGAATTTGGGCCCAGGGTGGTTGAAGAGTTAAGGACTGAATATTGGTACCTACACAAATCTTCATTAATCATCAGAAATGTGCGTATAATGTGCGTCAATTCAGCAAAATGATATCTCAAACCAAATCTCCTATCACAATATTGATATAATACTAATATATTGCTCAGCTTTAATGTAAAAGAAAATGTTATTTAATCCAGTTATAAATTAAAGATCTGACCTTTTACAATACCATGGCAGGAAATGGTGTCATTGCTCTAAAGGAAGTGAAATAAAGTGTCACACGAAACACTGACCACTAAGATCTGCACTTTGGTTCTATTATTTGTGTCTGTTATGTTCTGCCTTTTCCTTAACATTTGAGAGAGAATATAAATAAGTTATGATTGAAACAGTACCACAGGGTGTACATACAGAGTGTAACCTCTCAATAATGAATAAGAAATGAGAGAACATTACAATCCTTGACATAAAGTTTTACTATGACAATAACTTTCAACTTTCTCACACTATTTCTATATCCAAAGAAAAAATGGTGTACTTATGTATCAGAAAACAACTAATAAGTCCCTCTAACTGAAACAACTGGTCCTTAGACAAGACATAGAGTGAGAGAAACCATACTCGGCCTGTAGATGTCGTCACAACATGATTCAACTAATACCTGTGGGGGAAACTTCTGAAGCAATTGGAGTTAGGACTCAGAGAGACACGAGGAGAGCTGGAGCTTTGATGTCAAACACTGATGGTTTATTTGGAGCTTCGGCCGGAGAATTCACAAGCCACGGTTTGACCACACGGTTGAGATGCCACAATCAATTCTGAAGAACCCTCCTGTAGTTCCAGGGTTTTAACTAGTTCAGAGTGTAATAATCAACATTCTTCAATAGATAGACTAAACAGCTGAGGATACTTAATCACATTTGTTGTCGCTTATTGCTCGGGGTCATCTACACACCCGAGAAGGATGTGTTCCAGGTGTCCCACAACAATAACTATCTCTGACCGAAGTTGCCCGGTCATAAACTGGTAACAACAACAAAATGCTTGGGCAGCCCCTCCTTAAGGGAGATAGCGGCTGAACAAGGTTGGGCATCTGCGTCAGAGGGCAAAAGGTAAACATGTATACAGAATTATTCCCTGACAATACCAACAAAACCTTTAGATACTACTTTAGCCATCTACTTTAGTGTGGTCTTTAAATTATTGTATCTATTTAACTTTCAGTCAAAGCACTAATTATGTTAGTGATGAAGTAGATGATTCAACGTTCAGTTATTTCACTTCTCTCTCACTCTTTAGACTAAGTCACCCTCTATTGGCAACTATTGATATAAGGCAAATGCCCTGAACTGAGAAACTATCTAAGACTTATGACATTGCACTTGTAATAATACACATATATGTTTATATTTTAACCTCATTATGCAGACTGGTAGTAGTAGCCTATTAAGGCAGTAACACCATATGGTTATATTTTATTGATCATAATTTTCTCCTGAAATGTTAACATGTTGGGAACAGAGATTTTACAGAATAATCCACGCACAGCAGTAACGCCTCTGATCGTCAGTAGGGGGAAACCTCACACCGACTGATACTGATAATGAGTCTGGAGGTTTTTTCAATGCAGTAATTAAAGGTAGAGTCTGTGATGAAAATGAAAACAACAAAATGGAAGTTTACCTTGTTTGAATAATGTTTACATCTAGATTACCTTTAGTAAGAATGCATAATGTTTGTTGAATTAGAGAACACATATTGATGCAAATAAGCACAAAACATGTACAGACCTTTATTAACCTTACTTACTTTTATTATCATGAAAGCAATATTTAACTTCATAAAGTACCACAACTGGATTGGATATATAACAACACTAAAAAGACTTTCCATAAGAACGTATTCCAAGCAAACAAGGAAAATAAAAAACGATATATGACATTTTAATCACATGAGAAAAACAACAAACTATCATGCACATGATTCAATCTGAGTTCAATACTAAAATGATATAAATGATCATGATTGTAATTTACAAAGAGTGAAAAAATGCAGGCACCTCAACTTGTACTTGAACTGTGATACAAATGCAAAACAACACTAACAGACCTCAAATAATAACAACTCATACTGAGCTGCTGAACTGTGAACACATTTGCCAGAAGTAATTTTAGAATAACCACAGCAAATTACTTCCACTCCCTTTCTTCACATGCACAAAGATGATGAGAGACGACCTGAGTTGAACTTCAGATGCCTTACATCTCAACCATCACAACAGACTCATCTTGATGTTCCCTCTCTGGACGGTAAGCAGAACCTTCAGCCTTCTTGTAGTTCTTGTTCTTCCAAGCAAAATAGACGGCAATCCCGATTAATGCAAAAACCACCACAGCTGCCCGCACACCACATACGAGCAGGGAGTGATCAGCTGGGATAAAGAGACACAAAAACAACATGTCAAGTTAGTTCTGTGACAGGAGAGTTCATGATTACTATTTAAGAACCGTCTCTGCTGGAGGAAGAAACTGTTTATTGGAGGGTTTTATGGACACATTTATAACACTCTCCTACCCACAGTGGAAGCCTTAGCATGTGTTTGTGGTACAGTATATATGTTTTCATGATAAATCACTTACTCACATAGTTAACAATTCATTTTCTGAGAATCAACCAAGAGATTGACAGAGACATCGTCTTACTTGTACTTGTAAACACTGTTTGGTACTGTTATTTATTAGAAACATCACGTCTATTTTTTTTCTCAGACAAGCTTGTATATAACCGACAATATAATAATAACACACCACTCACCTGTGCAGTTGCTAAAGCCATTGTTGGAGTAGCCTAAATTGCAGGTGGTGCACTCGTAACTCCCCACCAGGTTAGTACACTGAGCAGCGGCACCACAGATATTGGTAAATTCGATGCACTCGTTTACCTCTGAAAGAAGAAGTGAAAAGATATGTTAAACAGTTAAAAACAAAGAGACACAGATCAAACATAATGTCATGCACAGGCTTACCTTGACAGTGTCCATCTTTTGTGAAGTTCACCAGCCCTTCACTGTGTGAGTAGCCTTGATGACAACGACACAAGAAGCTACCATTCGTGTTGAAGCAATCTGCGTGTCCCCGACAAATGCCTGGAGTTTCTTCGCACTCATTCATATCTGGATTTGGTTACAAACACATAAAGCAATGAGATTACAATTAAAGCAATGAATCTCACAGGTCAATACAAAATATGCTTGATTTGTATATGGAAAACATTTCATTTTGATTTTAAGCAGCCTCTGATTAGCTCTTTTTCTGTAGCTCCTCTTTCCATTGTATTTCTTTTTGTTAGCTGATAAAAAAACATTGTCAGTAATAGATGTTAAAAGATTCTTGGATCCTTGCAGTTTTTTTTTTTTCCGTGTGATCTATTACTGACAATGTTTTCTTTGCAATCCACTCTGAATGAGAGCACTGAGCAGTGCCTAAAATGGAAAAACAAGATGAATGTCATACAAAAAAATAACTTTTCCTGTTCAACTCCAGTAAGAGGTTTTGCATTGGAACACCATTTATCTCTGAGAGCTGTTGTATTAACTACAACAATAATGGCAATGGTAGACAAAGGCAAGACAATGACAAGGGATGCTTAACATTTGAGGTAATGGCAGATTATTACCAACACATTTTTGCCCTCTTGCCGTGTTGAAGCCAAGGGAACATTCAGTCAAACATTCCCTTACCATAACCAATACACCAGCAGGGAAAGAGAGAAAGGTCATTTAGTTCCAATGACAAGTAAGACGTGTATAAAGCAGAGCAACCATACTTGTGCACTAATGCCCACTTCAGGTGTTCTTATTAATTATTATTATAAAAGTTGGCTGCAGAAGCCACTACACTGGTGATGATGGTATATTTGAGCAACAATTGTAGCCCTGTGCAGTAGTGGTGTTCCATTTTAAATGTTGCCTCTGCTTGTTGACTGCTTTGCCGCTGATCAAATTGCAACATATTACAAAACTTCCCCAAACTAAAAGTTGTGAATCACATGCAGTTTTGTTGCTGAGCTATTACCGGATTTCCAGTGATGATGCTTTTTACAGCTCACTCAGCCTTCATTACAACTCTTGGTCTTGTTGATACATGGGTCTCCATTGGAGCCCATTGTAGTGGCTCAGTATGTTTATTAATTCACGGGACAACAACTGTGGAGAGTGTTAATGTTTGTGTTTTTATGTATTCCACCTTTTGAACTACATATGTGCGCGACTTATTTTCGTGTGATTGTTTTATTCCTCCTGTTTATCTACACCCATGGTTCTACCCCAGCTTGTCAGATTAAACACACACCACAGTAGACACGTGTCAATCACATTTCCTGACTCATGATTCAGTGGTAAGGCAGAGAACAGCGCCCCCATTCCCTCACATTGTGTAAGCAAAAACTGACCCTCCCTTGTGTTCCCTCCCTCTGTTGTTGGTGGATTTCCCACAGTAATGTCTCTTTAGGAGAAGCAGGCAGTGTTGGACAGTGAGTCTGTGACTGAGCCTTACTTTATGACTTAATAACTGCGGACATATACAAAGAGTGACTCTGTGCTCAGCTTGCAGCTGACATTTATTCACCAGTAGGCACAGTGGTGAATTTGAATAGACGTCTGTAACATAAACTATCCTCTCAGTGGGTCTTTCTTTATTCTTTTTAAGCTGTATGTAGCTAGATTTAGTTTATTATGTTGCTCTTCCTGTTGCATTATCTTATAGGCTGCTAAGAAAGGGGAGGCTATAAATGCAGGCAACACCAGGGTTTCTCTCTATCTCTAACTCTTTCTCTGTCTATTTATCTGTGTATTGAGTCGCATATGAAAGTAACTGCAATTTCCTACAGCCCTAAGGCCTCATTTTACACTCGTCAAAAGTCATGCTGAGTCATTTAAACTGTGTAGTCACATGTTTACAAATCATTATGTGAAAATGAAGGGGATTTCTGCTTCTGCCCACCTTTTGTAAAGACACTACTGGGTTAAAATACTTCTAATGGCGTTAATAACTTGCTGCTCTGTTACTATAATTGTTCATGTAGTACCAATAAAACAAACCGGTATCATGTATGTAGTATCATGTGAATGTAGACATACATGATGATTGCCGCTGCTGTTTTTAAGGGGATTAATCATGAAATAGTCAACAGTAGTATCTAGTAGTTGAGTCTTATATTGTCTTCAAACTTGATTGACATTGTAAACTTGTTCTGATTGTAAAACTCCACAATGTAAATTACTATATTAAATAATATTGGAAAAACCTGCATTTTTTGATTTTGTAGGTAATAAACAGCAAGTTGTAAACACATTTGAAATGAACGCCTTATGAAGTTGTTATGGTTAACTTGTTTTTTATCTAGCAGACGCAGAGCAACCTTAACTTTCAGTTACATTTGTGTTTCCGAAACTTAATAACGTCAAAAAGAAACTATCCTAATAGCTCTATTTTGGGTCTTCTGGTGGTAATGCTGCTTGCTTCTGCATGAAACAAGGTGGATGAGAATGGTTAAAAAACCAAAGCCACACATTAGTGGGACAGAAACCAAAACACTACGTTTTAAGAAGCTAAACTACTCTGTGAAGCGAAGGGTACACGCAGTGTTGGGTCACTACACACAGCCCTTTTAATGTTACAACTTTGTTTATTGTTTATTTCGTCTCTTTTTTCATTGACAAGTTATTTCAATTCAAAATATGATTTGAGAGAGTTTGTAACAAAAATAAACAAATAACATAAGAGCGTACAAACAGAACACGTTGGCTATTGGATAGTGCAAAGGCAAATAGATCAACTGATAAACAATGAGGTAACGGTTTAATATCTGTTTATTATCAACAGTATATATTATGTATCATTTCTTCATTTTTACAGTTATTGTTGGTGGTGATATATCGCAACACCCCTAATATTATATTTATATATATATATATAAGTCCTACTGTACATAGCACATGTGTGTTAATAATAACACGGTCAACATATAGAATGATTTATGACGTCTCCTGAAAGACAGAATTAAATAAAGTAGTATTTTTTACACCACTCACCTGTGCAGTTGCTAAAGCCATTGTTGGAGTAGCCTAAGTTGCAGGTGGTGCACTCGTAACTCCCCACCAGGTTAGTACACTGAGCAGCGGCACCACAGATATTGGTAAATTCGATGCACTCGTTTACCTCTGAAAGAAGAAGTGAAAAGATATGTTAAACAGTTAAAAACAAAGAGACACAGATCAAACATAATGTCATGCACAGGCTTACCTTGACAGTGTCGATCTTTTGTGAAGTTCACCAGCCCTTCACTGTGTGAGTAGCCTTGATGACAACGACACAAGAAGCTACCATTCGTGTTGAAGCAATCTGCGTGTTCCCGACAAATGCCTGGAGTTTCTTCGCACTCATTCATATCTGGATTTGGTTACAAACACATAAAGCAATGAGATTACAATTAAAGCAATGAATCTCACAGGTCAATACAAAATATGCTTGATTTGTATATGGAAAACATTTCATTTTGATTTTAAGCAGCCTCTGATTAGCTCTTTTTCTGTAGCTCCTCTTTCCATTGTATTTCTTTTTGTTAGCTGATAAAAAAACATTGTCAGTAATAGATGTTAAAAGATTCTTGGATCCTTGCAGTTTTTTTTTTTTCCGTGTGATCTATTACTGACAATGTTTTCTTTGCAATCCACTCTGAATGAGAGCACTGAGCAGTGCCTAAAATGGAAAAACAAGATGAATGTCATACAAAAAAATAACTTTTCCTGTTTAACTCCAGTAAGAGGTTTTGCATTGGAACACCATTTATCTCTGAGAGCTGTTGTATTAACTACAACAATAATGGCAATGGTAGACAAAGGCAAGACAATGACAAGGGATGCTTAACATTTGAGGTAATGGCAGATTATTACCAACACATTTTTGCCCTCTTGCCGTGTTGAAGCCAAGGGAACATTCAGTCAAACATTCCCTTACCATAACCAATACACCAGCAGGGAAAGAGAGAAAGGTCATTTAGTTCCAATGACAAGTAAGACGTTTATAAAGCAGAGCAACCATACTTGTGCACTAATGCCCACTTCAGGTGTTCTTATTAATTATTATTATAAAAGTTGGCTGCAGAAGCCACTACACTGGTGATGATGGTATATTTGAGCAACAATTGTAGCCCTGTGCAGTAGTGGTGTTCCATTTTAAATGTTGCCTCTGCTTGTTGACTGCTTTGCCGCTGATCAAATTGCAACATATTACAAAACTTCCCCAAACTAAAAGTTGTGAATCACATGCAGTTTTGTTGCTGAGCTATTACCGGATTTCCAGTGATGATGCTTTTTACAGCTCACTCAGCCTTCATTACAACTCTTGGTCTTGTTGATACATGGGTCTCCATTGGAGCCCATTGTAGTGGCTCAGTATGTTTATTAATTCACGGGACAACAACTGTGGAGAGTGTTAATGTTTGTGTTTTTATGTATTCCACCTTTTGAACTACATATGTGCGCGACTTATTTTCGTGTGATTGTTTTATTCCTCCTGTTTATCTACACCCATGGTTCTACCCCAGCTTGTCAGATTAAACACACACCACAGTAGACACGTGTCAATCACATTTCCTGACTCATGATTCAGTGGTAAGGCAGAGAACAGCGCCCCCATTCCCTCACATTGTGTAAGCAAAAACTGACCCTCCCTTGTGTTCCCTCCCTCTGTTGTTGGTGGATTTCCCACAGTAATGTCTCTTTAGGAGAAGCAGGCAGCGTTGGACAGTGAGTCTGTGACTGAGCCTTACTTTATGACTTAATAACTGCGGACATATACAAAGAGTGACTCTGTGCTCAGCTTGCAGCTGACATTTATTCACCAGTAGGCACAGTGGTGAATTTGAATAGACGTCTGTAACATAAACTATCCTCTCAGTGGGTCTTTCTTTATTCTTTTTAAGCTGTATGTAGCTAGATTTAGTTTATTATGTTGCTCTTCCTGTTGCATTATCTTATAGGCTGCTAAGAAAGGGGAGGCTATAAATGCAGGCAACACCAGGGTTTCTCTCTATCTCTAACTCTTTCTCTGTCTATTTATCTGTGTATTGAGTCGCATATGAAAGTAACTGCAATTTCCTACAGCCCTAAGGCCTCATTTTACACTCGTCAAAAGTCATGCTGAGTCATTTAAACTGTGTAGTCACATGTTTACAAATCATTATGTGAAAATGAAGGGGATTTCTGCTTCTGCCCACCTTTTGTAAAGACACTACTGGGTTAAAATACTTCTAATGGCGTTAATAACTTGCTGCTCTGTTACTATAATTGTTCATGTAGTACCAATAAAACAAACCGGTATCATGTATGTAGTATCATGTGAATGTAGACATACATGATGATTGCCGCTGCTGTTTTTAAGGGGATTAATCATGAAATAGTCAACAGTAGTATCTAGTAGTTGAGTCTTATATTGTCTTCAAACTTGATTGACATTGTAAACTTGTTCTGATTGTAAAACTCCACAATGTAAATTACTATATTAAATAATATTGGAAAAACCTGCATTCTTTGATTTTGTAGGTAATAAACAGCAAGTTGTAAACACATTTGAAATGAACGCCTTATGAAGTTGTTATGGTTAACTTGTTTTTTATCTAGCAGACGCAGAGCAACCTTAACTTTCAGTTACATTTGTCTTTCCGAAACTTAATAACGTCAAAAAGAAACTATCCTAATAGCTCTATTTTTGGTCTTCTGGTGGTAATGCTGCTTGCTTCTGCATGAAACAAGGTGGATGAGAATGGTTAAAAAACCAAAGCCACACATTAGTGGGACAGAAACCAAAACACTACGTTTTAAGAAGCTAAACTACTCTGTGAAGCTAAGGGTACACGCAGTGTTGGGTCACTACACACAGCCCTTTTAATGTTACAACTTTGTTTATTGTTTATTTCGTCTCTTTTTTCATTGACAAGTTATTTCAATTCAAAATATGATTTGAGAGAGTTTGTAACAAAAATAAACAAATAACATAAGAGCGTACAAACAGAACACGTTGGCTATTGGATAGTGCAAAGGCAAATAGATCAACTGATAAACAATGAGGTAACGGTTTAATATCTGTTTATTATCAACAGTATATATTATGTATCATTTCTTCATTTTTACAGTTATTGTTGGTGGTGATATATCGCAACACCCCTAATATTATATATATATATATATATATATATATATATAAGTCCTACTGTACATAGCACATGTGTGTTAATAATAACACGGTCAACATATAGAATGATTTATGACGTCTCCTGAAAGACAGAATTAAATAAAGTAGTATTTTTTACACCACTCACCTGTGCAGTGGCTAAAGCCATTGTTGGAGTAGCCTAAGTTGCAGGTGGTGCACTCGTAACTCCCCACCAGGTTAGTACACTGAGCAGCGGCACCACAGATATTGGTAAATTCGATGCACTCGTTTACCTCTGAAAGAAGAAGTGAAAAGATATGTTAAACAGTTAAAAACAAAGAGACACAGATCAAACATAATGTCATGCACAGGCTTACCTTGACAGTGTCCATCTTTTGTGAAGTTCACCAGCCCTTCACTCTGTGAGTAGCCTTGATGACAACGACACAAGAAGCTACCATTCGTGTTGAAGCAATCTGCGTGTCCCCGACAAATGCCTGGAGTTTCTTCGCACTCATTCCTATCTGGATTTGGTTACAAACACATAAAGCAATGAGATTACAATTAAAGCAATGAATCTCACAGGTCAATACAAAATATGCTTGATTTGTATATGGAAAACATTTCATTTTGATTTTAAGCAGCCTCTGATTAGCTCTTTTTCTGTAGCTCCTCTTTCCATTGTATTTCTTTTTGTTAGCTGATAAAAAAACATTGTCAGTAATAGATGTTAAAAGATTCTTGGATCCTTGCAGTTTTTTTTTTTCCGTGTGATCTATTACTGACAATGTTTTCTTTGCAATCCACTCTGAATGAGAGCACTGAGCAGTGCCTAAAATGGAAAAACAAGATGAATGTCATACAAAAAAATAACTTTTCCTGTTTAACTCCAGTAAGAGGTTTTGCATTGGAACACCATTTATCTCTGAGAGCTGTTGTATTAACTACAACAATAATGGCAATGGTAGACAAAGGCAAGACAATGACAAGGGATGCTTAACATTTGAGGTAATGGCAGATTATTACCAACACATTTTTGCCCTCTTGCCGTGTTGAAGCCAAGGGAACATTCAGTCAAACATTCCCTCACCATAACCAATACACCTGCAGGGAAAGAGAGAAAGGTCATTTAGTTCCAATGACAAGTAAGACGTTTATAAAGCAGAGCAACCATACTTGTGCACTAATGCCCACTTCAGGTGTTCTTATTAATTATTATTATAAAAGTTGGCTGCAGAAGCCACTACACTGGTGATGATGCTATATTTGAGCAACAATTGTAGCCCTGTGCAGTAGTGGTGTTCCATTTTAAATGTTGCCTCTGCCTTTTAGACCGCTTTGCCGCTGATCAAATTGCAACATATTACAAAACTTCCCCAAACTAAAAGTTGTGAATCACATGCAGTTTTGTTGCTGAGCTATTACCGGATTTCCAGTGATGATGCTTGCTTCTGCATGAAACAAGGTGGATGAGAATGGTTAAAAAACCAAAGCCACACATTAGTGGGACAGAAACCAAAACACTACGTTTTAAGAAGCTAAACTACTCTGTGAAGCGAAGGGTACACGCAGTGTTGGGTCACTACACACAGCCCTTTTAATGTTACAACTTTGTTTATTGTTTATTTCGTCTCTTTTTTCATTGACAAGTTATTTCAATTCAAAATATGATTTGAGAGAGTTTGTAACAAAATTAAACAAATAACATAAGAGCGTACAAACAGAACACGTTGGCTATTGGATAGTGCAAAGGCAAATAGATCAACTGATAAACAATGAGGTAACGGTTTAATATCTGTTTATTATCAACAGTATATATTATGTATCATTTCTTCATTTTTACAGTTATTGTTGGTGGTGGTATATCGCAACACCCCTAATATTATATTTATATATATATATATATATATATATATATATATATATATATATATATAAGTCCTACTGTACATAGCACATGTGTGTTAATAATAACACGGTCAACATATAGAATGATTTATGACGTCTCCTGAAAGACAGAATTAAATAAAGTAGTATTTTTTAATTGGTACTGTGTAACTTGTACGTAAAAAATATGCTGTTTGGTGGTAAGCCTCTACAACATCTGCCTGACACAGATGTACTGTATAAACCAGAAATGTCCCCATCCTGTCAGGATTTGTGGCATACTCAAACAGGCTTATATCCTGCTGTGATTCATGTGCCTTCAGACCTCTGCATGCTGCTTCAACTCTGGGTTGGTTTTACTCTGTCTGTGGAGCAGACGTCCAGAGACCGTTTCTCACCACACAGCAGCTACTGTGACTCCCATCCATACATGACATCTGCACACAGCTGGAGGGCTGCGCTCTGCTTCCTGTCTTAAAGGGTTAACGTTACTGATGCTGCCCATGTGGCCTTAAAATCATTTTTTCTTTCAATTTCACACCTTCTGCTATCATATTCACATGTTGTGACCGCTGTTACAGGATAAAAGTCACCATATAAGTTGTTGGACCTCATTTAAAGTGAGAAGCAAGGTTAATATACTAATAATGAAATACATGTATTTCCACATGTTTCCATAGCCACCACATAATAATGAATATCATTGTGTATGACTGAAAAAACAAGTGGACACACATCAACTGAAGTGTTACAACATTTCCAAACATCCCCATACTTTTGGTTTCTTCTTTCCTTGCCTCAACTATCACACACCCACCCAGTCACACACCGACACACACATTGTGCTCTCATTGATAGACTTACCGAGAATAAGGAGCTCCTTCCCAGACCCCATGTGCAAGGCAAACCAGCAGATTACTGTATCAGAACTGTGAATTAGTTGTAAATCATTTAGGTCCAGTTAAAATCCTGTAATAAAAGTTTAGATCCTGACAAAGTCCATGGTCCGTAAAATCCAGCAGGAATGAAAAACAAAAAGATCAATCCTTTCGGTAGAGGATAATTGTATGGCAGGAAAATAACAGTGAACCTTCACCAGCTTTCTTCCTCTCAGAGTCAGACCCTCAGTCTCTGAGCACGCCTCGCTCTCTCCCTGATCCCCCCCCTTTCTCTCTCTCTCTCTCTCTTTCCCTCTCTCTCACTTGTCTGTGTGGCCTTGTCTCTGTCACTTCAGTCTTTCTAACTCTTTCCTTTCTCTTTGCATATCTTTCCTTGTGAACACATTTCTTACACTGGCACCGTATCACATTGCTTGTACAAACCCCCCCCTCTGCCTACGCCGTCTTTCACATTTCACTTTACGCTCGGTAACACTTTACAATAAGGTACACACAATGTGCTTAGTTACTGCTTAGTTACTGAGGAACTACTAGATAGTTAATGGTTAGTTAAAGAGTAGTTCCTCAGGGACTGCGATTGAGGAACTGATGGTTAGTTACTGGTAAACAGACTGGGGGGTACTGTATTAATGAATCATTTGTTAATGGTTACTTAATGAGTAGTTCCTCAGTGACTGCGATGGATGGTTAGTTAGTTACTGGTAAACAGACTGGGGGGTACTGTATTAATGAATCATTTGTTAATGGTTACTTAATGAGGAGTTCCTGAGTTAACTAATGGTTAGTTACTGGTAAACAGACTGGGGGGTACTGTATTAATGAATCATTCGTTAATGGTTACTTAATGAGTAGTTCCTCAGTGAACTAATGGTTAGTTACTGGTAAACAGACTGGGGGGTACTGTATTAATGAATCATTCGTTAATGGTTACTTAATGAGGAGTTCCTGGGAGACTTTGATTGAAGCAATGGTCCGCTGCAGCAGGGCACTTTTAAACCTGCCATCTTCGGCTGGCTTGGGTCCCACACTGGATCAACTGGTGGAGGTGGATCCGACTCACATTTTACTGCTTAAGTCATCATTATTTACCTTACCATTACTTAGGCCGTTTGGGTACGGTAAACTCAAGGAACGCAAACAAAAACAGTAGTTACCCATTACCTAATGATTACCTTACCGTTACTAAAACAGTAGTTACTGTTTAACATTAAGCAGTATGTGTCCCCTCAAGTAAAGTAATGCATCAAAAACAGTAGTTACCCATTACCTAATGCTTACTTTACCATTCATTAAGCAGTATGTGTCCCCTCAAGTAAAGTAATGCATCAAAAACAGTATTACCCATTACCTAATGCTTACTTTACCATTCATTAAGCAGTATGTGTCCCCTCAAGTAAAGTAATGCATCAAAAACAGTAGTTACCCATTAACCCTAATGCTTACTTTACCATTACTAAAACAGTAGTTACCCATTAACTAATGATTACCTCACCATTATTTAAGCAGTTTAACAAACAAACAAACCCTATGCACTCAAGTTTACATTTTTATTTAAACAACAATCCAAAGGACACTAATAACAAAAACGAGGTTGCTTTCAGAACTTGTGAAAGCGGCGTATGTCATGCAGCAATCTGCCTAAGGGACCATCTTTGTGTTTATTTGCCAGCCAATGTGTCCACTCGATCAAAGCAAGATGACTCTTCAGAGTCTTCACTGTGCGGTTTCCTCGCAGTCTCCAGACCTGTGACTTGTAAGTTGACCAAGCCCGCTCAATGTTTTGGGTGTGGGCTCCTGTGTCTGGGTTCACAAATGAACGGCTGTGGTTCACAGAGAAATGGACAAAGCCACTTTCTGCGATTGCAGTGATGTATGCCCTCCACATGTCCGTTATCACCGTGGTCCCTTGGCGAACGTATTTTGTGACCAGAGGAATTAAGTGGCGCCTTGATCTTTGTTTCACTAGCCTCAGGATAGGTCTTCTCCTTGTTCCTCTGATGCCCAGCATACCAAAGACCCATTTTCTCCTCCTCCACGTAGGACCGAATCTTCTCCTACCATACTGTAATAAAGCAGTGAAAAAGGACAACAAAATTATATAAAAATAAACATCAGTAATTTCAATTGATAAACAAAGTCAAATGTGTTTGTTATTTGCGTTCTTTTACAATTTAAAAATATTCACTTCCTTTCTCAAAAAAGAAGAGAAAAATATTAAAATGTAGTGGTACAAACAGAAAAGGCTGTTTAATTTTATTAAGTTAAAGTTTGCTTATTTTGCTGCAAGAAACATGAAAAGGTAAGATAGATATTGGAATTAGATGATATATAAATAGATTATACACTTTTAAAATGTTAGTAATAAAATGTAAGAATATGGATTTATTTCCTTATTGATTAATGATCTGATTGGATGAGATACTTCTTAGCTTCTAAATTCTTTTGTTCTGTTATTTGACTGTGTATACACTGTGGAGCTGGCTCTCTCTAATGTATACTCTGTCTTGGAAGCCTAAGCACGCCAGTCATAAGGGTGTGAATGACACAATTATAAAATTACATTACTTTGCTCAGTCATTTGTTAATCTCTGACTTTAAAAGATATGTTATTATTTCACCTTGAAAAACAAAGTTTTTAGTTTTAGTGAGGCCAAAGGCTAAGGCTCTGTAGTTTATACACACCTTCCTTTTGTGGTAGAAGTTGCTTTCGTCCAGCATGACAAATTCGTTTGGTCCTCCAAGTCTCTGCTTTCCCCTCCTTTCTCTCCTCCTGATTGCACTCTTGCAGACCTTCCTCAACTTCTGGCTAATTTTTGACAGCGTGCGACTGCTTCCTGCCACGCCATCCTGCAGCATGTCAATTTGCCTTAGCTGCAGTCCCTGGGAAAATCTGTTAAAGATCAATATAAAATTACTAAATATGAACAAAAACATATGAAGACGAACGCATTCAGCACCAGTGGCTAATGTATTAATTATATAATTCACATTAGACATTTGTTATTACTCAAAATGAAACAGAATATTTTAATGTTGCTAATTCATTTTATCTATCAAGTTTCCCTATATCAGAGCATCTACGCATGTATTTTTAAGCTATTAGAATAATCACACATTTAAACATTCTGAACCCATTTTTTTGTTGAGGAACATTTTGAATGCAGGAATTTTACTGTAACAGAGTATTCGTACACTCTGTACAAGATCTGAGTACTTCTACTCAAGTGCAATATCTGAGTACTTCTGTTTTACTCAAGTACAATATCTGAGTACTTCTACTTTTACTCAAGTACAATATCTGAGTACTTTTACTAAAGTACCCGATCTGAGTACTTCTACTTTTAATCAAGTACAAGATCTATACTTATACCACCTCTGTTTATAGCCTATGAAAAAATTAGAAAACGAAGGCTAAAGCTAATGTTAGCAGATAGTGACAATGTATCCTAGTTAGCTAGCTCAACGATTCCTTAAATAATATTGCGACAGAAACATTTTTTTGTTCACATCACGCTCTGCTACTCCAACAGGGAGCTCTGCTCTGAACACTCGAACGGTAAGGCGATATGGGTCCGTTCTTATTGTGCATCCATGGGTAAAGGTAAAACCTTTATATATACAGTCTATGGGTAAAACGCATGTAGTACTGAACACGTAACATGAACGTGCCGGGCGGCGCGGTCCCGTGGGTTAGATGCGCGTTCATAATGCCGAGGGAAATAACTCTCGAATATTGTCATCAGAGTCCGGCGCAGTTTGTTTGTAGCCTTTATTTAACCAGGTGAAAAATCAACTATCTCTTTTTCAAGGGATACCTGCAGTTCCTGGGGGCTTGGTGTGAAAGCGACGCCAATGTGCCCCGCCACACCTCCAAGCCGCCTGCGTTGTGAATTGCCAAATAACTAGCATTTAGTCCGCCAGCTCAATGCTAACATATAATGGATAACGGAATTGACGCGCTAACTGAAATTAGCATTTAGATATCGGCAATGTTAAACAACAGTCAACATGCTTAAAATAAACGTAATACTTACAGGCATTAATTTGCTGTGCTCTGAGGAAATGACTGATATTATTGATGAATTAATATTACCTGTAAATGTATTTCATCCAGCTGAACAAGGATAATTTGCTCCTCTCAAACAGGGACAAACACATCACTGACTTCTTCGTCGTTTTCCCTCGGTGTTTTTTACGTCGGCACTTCCTACAAAAGACAAATCGTAAATTCCTAGTCCTTTTTTCCTGATAAAGAACTTATCTTTGTAACATTACATATCAGTAAACAGAGGAAGTCATCGTTAAAACCCGTGCTAAAAATGTAAGACTTACCACTGCAGTCCGTCGACGTTTGAGTGTTTCTCCAGTTTCCTCCTCTTTTTGCAGAGTTTGCATTTCATTTTTCCTTGAAGCAATTCCATTTTCATTAAAAGTCTGTTTGGTGTGCAGTGTCATGATAACCTAAAACCATAGACTACTGCGGCGTTACTACTGCGTTACTGCGGCCCGTCCACAAACCCTAACGGTCGGTCCGGTCCGTTACGGACCGTCCACACAGCAGCGTTAAAAAATCTTGTAATGCTTCTGGCCATTCACTTTGAATGGGGTGACGTCACTTTGCCTCACTTTTCGCCGAACTGCATTGTGGGCAGCAGAGCGGAGATTTTCAGGATTTTCAGGATTCAAAGTTGAGCAATGTTCAACTTTTGAAGCTGAGGTGGAAGCGTCAGCCAATCAAATCCCATGTATGCAAATCTGACAGTTCAAGCGCTAGCCAATCAAACCGCGTGTATGCTGGGAGAGACATACCGCAGGTCATTTCCTCATATTCCAAAAAATGGAGGAGAAATTAGCGGTAGGGAATCACCCGGTGCTTTATGACCAGTCCCTATTTACCTACCGGGATATAAACCGGAGGAGCCAGGCATGGAGGGAGGTGGCAGAGACAGTGGTAGGTTTTCGCCTGTTTGGGGAGTTTATATCCAGTTTACTTCGGGCTTTTTTGCTTCGTATGTCGGGGGCGGGAGATTCATGTGATTGGTTGTTGGTGCCTTGCTCGCAAAAAATCCCCAAGCTTCAGATACGCCCACCTCCAAGATTTTTTAACGCTGCTGTGTGGAGGGGCCATTACACCCAGCGTAGTTCAAGATGTGCTGCCGCTGCCGGGCCAGACCGGAAGTTGAAGCACAGCGAACTCCGCCGCGGAGCGCACTAGCGCCCTAGCACCCTGATCCTCATTTCTTGTTCACACGATTCAAACCAATAGTTTTGATGTTTTGAATCAGGTATTTCATCTTCCTTGTTAAATTGACAAAGCACAGCTTCTGTATCT